AGAGAAAATATTAGATAGCAATTCCTACCAATTCTCCCTCCCTAATTTTGGGATAACTTTCTTGTGATTTTAACCCGAAGCCAATATTTTTTTTTGTCATTCTTCTAAATTTGGCGTGCTTAGGAGGAATCGAACCTCCGACCATTTGAACCGCAATCAAATATTCTATCCACTGAACTATAAGCACTCCATAATTAATTTTAGCAAAAAACTCGTAAAACTTTATTAATATATATGTCTTATGACTTGATTATCATTGGGGCGGGACCAGCCGGTTTGACCGCGGCCATTTATGCCCGAAGAGCCCTCTTAAAATGTTTAATCTTAGAAAAATCCTTAGCGGGAGGAAAGTTAAACAAAACGGCTGATGTTGATAATTATCCAGGTTTTACCACCATTAAAGGGCCCGAACTAGCCGAAAAAATGACAGAGCACACTAAACATTATGAGATTGATTGAAAACAAGAAGAAGTATTGAAATTAGAAAAAAATGAAAAGAAGTTTGTTGTCAAAACAAATGAAGGAAATAGTTTTATTAGCAAAGCGGTTATTATTGCTTCGGGGGCAGTTGAAAAGGAATTAGGAATTAAAGGAGAAAGAGAATTTGCTAATCAGGGAGTTTCTTATTGTGCTATTTGCGATGGATTTCTTTTTCGTGGGAAAGAAGTAGTAGTAGTTGGGGGCGGTTATTCTGCCTTGGAAACTGCTCTCTATATGAGTAATGTTGCCAACCAAGTTTATCTTATTCACCGACGTACTGAATTCCGAGCCGAGAAAGAAATAGTGGAAAAAGCCGAAAGTAATTCAAAAATAACTTTTCTTTTAAATTCTATTCTCACTGAAATTCAAGGAGGAGAGGGAGTAGAAAAAGTCATTGCTAGCAATTTAGCAGACAACAAAAAAAGCGAATTATTAGTTAATGCTGTTTTTCCGTGTATTGGACTCTCACCATTTAGCAGTTTTACTCATGAGTTAGGTGTTTGTGATAGAGAAAAGTATATCGCTATTAAAGACGATTGTTCGACGGCCGTTCCTGGCTTATTTGCGGCTGGTGATGTGGCTCGAATAAGTCAAAATAAAATTAAGCAAATTGTGACTGCTGTGGCCGAAGGTGCTATTGCTGCTCAGTCAGTAATTAAATACTTAGAAAAATTATAGATTTACTTTCCATTTTTTTTCTTCATTTTGACGATTAAAGGAATTGTTGTTGACAGAAAATAACAACTAATTTAAGTTATTAACCTTATTTTTTTGCTTTCGTAATTCGCTAATTTTCTTTTTAATTACCTACTGTTGATAGTTTTCTAATTCTTGGAGTGAAGAAATTTGGGTTAGTTTTTTCTGATAAGATAAACTGAATCCGTTAATATTCAATATAAGGCATTAAAGTATCTTTGTGGAAAATATTTTTTTGAGAAAACTACATAATTAGTAAAATGGGAAATTTTTTCAAAATACTTTACTAATTAGGAGAGAGGGATAGAACATCTCTCCGATTAGTTTTTAAACTGCCGGAGTTAATTCGACAAAACTTTCATCCTCTAAATCACTATCAACTTCATCTTCTACTACTTCTTTTTTAGTTTCTTTTTTCACTCCTCTCAAAAATTCTTGATTATCCCTTTCATTTTCTCGTTTGGCTGCTTCTTTCATAGCAGTGGCTTCGGCCGCTTTTTCTACCGAATAATTTTTGCTTCATTCCGCACCCTTTTCTAGGGCTTTGGCAGTTAGCGCTAATGGTATTAAAATGACAGTCAGAATGCCGCACACTATTAGTGCTGCTCAACTTTTCGCTTTCTTTCACCAAATTTGGTTTTTAATTTGCTCGTATTTTTTAGTCATTAAGTTTTTTAATATAAATGTTTATAGTAAGCATGACTATTCTATCCACTAGGACATACTTACATAATATATTTAGAGAATTAAATGCTGGAAGGGAACAATTAAAATCACTTAAACAGATTTTTATAGTCTGGTTCTTAGTGTTTTAAACTTACTCAAAACTAATAGCCTCAGATGCCCGCAATCCTACTTTTCAACAAAGAAAAAATAAATATTCATGGACATTTTTCTTATATTCTCCTCTTTTGGGAGAAGGAGAAATTATGTAATCTCAAACTTGTTATAAGAGTTAATTGGCGGGGAGAATTGTTAAAGATTTTTCTTTTTTTCAGTCCTTTTAATTAAGTTTTATAAATTTCGTTTTCCTAAATGTAATATTTTGGTTAATTTTTCTCTTCTTTGCTTATTAAGTCTAGCACTTTGTTAATATATTTGTATTTGTCCTCTTCTAAATAGGCTTTACTGAAGCTAACGGTTTGACTGATTATCATTTTACCTAAGCCAATATTTTTTCCAAAAAATAATTCATAAGCAGCATAAGTTAATATTGCTCTTTCTAAAGGAGGCAAATGAGAAAATTCCCAACCAGTCTTTAATTTTTTAGTAATTTTTTGACTCAGATATTTTTCCTTTTCTAAACATTGGTTAAGCCAAATAATTCTTTCTCTCTCTTTCTCGCTTTCGTTTTCTTTTTTTTGAATTTCTCCTAGTAGATAATAACTGTAAAGGAGAAAAATTTTCCTTTTGTCAAGACGAAACATTTAGAAGCGGTTGATATTAAAGCATAAATTGGATCAGGAAAGTTATTTTTGCGCCTTATCGCCGATTGCTTTGTTTAATTGGTCTTTCATATGTGGCAATTTCCCAAAAGTGTCTTTCAGAATTTCGAATATTTTATTTTTGTCCTCGGCTGAAATGCTTCTGTTATTCTTTAATTCATCCATCTTTTCTTGTAAATAAACTTGTGGATCTTTTTTTTCTAATTTTCAAGGTTCATGGCTCTCTGCTTCGCTAATAATATAAGTGCCGCGATTGATAAGAAATTGTAATTGACTTTTCGCAAATTCTGAGGCGAGACAAAGTGTGTGAATGGGATTATCGGCATAAATTAGGTGGTTTTTTCTTTCTATATCCGGCAGCGGCAAGTAAACTTCACAAACATATAAGCCTGCTAACTCACCCTCTAAAACCTTTTTGGGGCTGTCAATTGTTATATATTCCAAATTACCTTGGTCGGTACCTGGCTTTTTCAGCCAAAAATTAATTTTAATCATACATTTATTAATTTTATATACTAAAACTTTTAGGAAATCGGCAAAACTGACACAAATGTTCTTTTCTTACCCCGTCTTCATTGATAATAATACTTCACTATGCCATCGCATTCAGCATGAATGGTATAATCTTTGCCAAAAAACACTCCCTTGCCGCCTTTGTATTTAGTTCCTCGCTGCCGAACAATAATACTTCCTTTTCGAACATATTCATTGCCAAACTCTTTCACTCCTAATCGTTTAGAAATTGAATCATGGCTGCGATTAGTGGAAGCCGAACCACCGCCCTTTTTTTGGGCGAAAAATTGTAAATCTAATTGAAATATTGACATAATTATTTATTTTTTTTTCTGATTTTTGAGACGATAAACAATTCAGCCTGCCCCTAAGGTGGCTATAATTATTCCTCCGCCAATTAAATAAGGAACATAACTAGGTTTTGGCTGGTTTTTTTCAGAAGCGTTTTCGTGCGAATGAGAATTATTTTTTAATTTTTCTAGTTTTTGCTGGTCTAAATTTTTTTCATTAACATATCTTAAACAATTCAAAATCATGCCGATTTTTTGATTTTCATTATTTAATATTTCATTTTTTCCGTTGTTATAGGTAATGGATAAACTTCAAGTAGGGTCTATTACTTGGATAGATTTAATATTTCGACTTTTAAATCATTCAATAAGAACACTAATATGCACATCTTGGGCAGTTTTATTCTTTTTGTCTTTTCATTCTTTTTCTCATATTTCTGCTTTAGGCAGCGGTCTGTTTCCAGCATGAGTGCCGGTTGTATTAGGGTCAGGGGTTCCACTTTCTAAACTAATCCAGCGGCCATTTTCGAAATAATAAGAATGTTCGTCGCCCAGATTGTCTTTTCGAGGCTCATTTTTATAAACTGTGTTTTTTGGACTTGATTTTTGGCGATATTTTTTTTCCTTACTCTTCCAGCATTTGCCACAAAATCAACTCAACCTCTCCAACGAGGTCATTGCTTCGTTCTCCTCGCATCAATAATATCAATTTTCTATATTTTGGTAATCAGCACCACACTTATTACAAATTCCAACAATTTTTTCTTTATTATTATTTGCTTTTGGTTCGGAATCTTCTTTATAAAGAGTAATATTAATGTTGTTTTCTAATTCCACTCACTTAAAAAAACGACCTTCTACTTCTCAATGCTGTGGAATATTTGGTTCACTCGGCAAATTTTCCGCCCCATCAATTAGATAATAATCTCCTTCTTTTTCTGCTTTTCATCCTATTTTTTTATTTCTAAGAATAACATTGTTAGAAGCAGGATGATTCAAGGCTACATTAAGATGATAATCTTGGTCGTTTTTTCGTCCTCAAAATTGGTGAAATTGTCTCATGCATTTTTCTTCGTAACTGGAACAGTGGTGGGAGCATTTGTAATGATAAAATAATTTGGGATTGCTATCTAATATTTTCTC